TTATTTATTTTTATTTATTTATTTATTTATATTTATTTATTTATTTATTTATATTTATTTATTTATTTATTTTTATTTTTTATTTTTTATTTATTTTTATAGGCTTTATCTTTATGTCGGTTTATACAAGACCCTCTATCAGAGGCATCTGTATAGATTACTATTTATATTTATTTATTTATTTACATTTATTTATTTATATTTATTTATATTTATTTATTTATTTATTTATTTTTATTTTTTATTTATGTTTATAGGCTTTATCTTTATGTCGGTTTATACAAGACCCTCTATCAGAGGCAGCTTTCTCTTTCTTTCTTTATTTTTATTTATTTATTTATATTTATTTATTTATTTATATTTATTTTTTTTTCTTTTTTTTCTTTTTTTTTCTTTTTTTTTATTTTTATAGGCTTTATCTTTATGTCGGTTTATACAAGACCCTCTATCAGAGGCAGCAACTCTATGGGGCGAGGGTTTAGATAACCTGCTGCTGCAGCTGCGGCTGCATCCGCTGCAGGATGCTGTAAACCCTAAACCCTAAACCCTAAACCCTAAACCCTAAACCCTAAACCCTAGGCTTTATATTGTAGACCCTAGTTTAGCTCTTATCCCTACAAAAAGAAGAAACCCTAAACCCTTTTTTTTAGGGTTTAGGGTTTAGGATATCACGAATGCTGCTGCTGCTGCTGCTGCTGCTAGTTTTGATGCTGCTGCTGTTGCTGCTGGTGTTGCTGCTGCTGCTGCTGCTGCTGCTGTTGCTGCTGCTGCTGCGGTTTCAAAGATTGCTGCTGCTGTCGTTTCCGTTTGTGTATGAATGCTGTGTGGAGTTGTGTGTCTCCGTTTGCTGCTGCTGCTGCTGCTGCTACATCTGCTGCTGCTGCTGCTGCTGCTGCTTCTGCTGCTGCTGCTGCTGCTGCTGCTGCTGACAGGTACCTCGAGAGCGGCTTGCTGCTGCATGCGAAATTGTGCTGCTGCGGTTGGTGGGGGACAGCGGCGTAGACCTGCGGCGGTGCATGCGGCTGCACAGCAGCAGCAGCAGCAGCAGCAGCAGCAGCAGCAGCAGCAGCAGCCCAGCAGCAGCTATTCTCCAGTTTGTTCCTGGGCTTGGACCCCGCAAAGCTGCACGACTACTCAACTTCCTCAAATCTACTACTCTTGTTGTAAACCCTAAACCCTAAACCCTAAACCCTAGCTAAACCCTAAACCCTAAACCCTAGACTTTGGTTCTTTTAGTAAACCCTAGACCCTAAACCCTAAATATATTTTACCTTCTATGATCATAAACCCTTGCTGGAAACCCTAAAGGGTTTAGGGTTTAGGGTTTAGGGTTTGTGTGCAGATGAAGTCTCAGCTGTGTACAGCTAGGGTTTAGG